TAGGTAACAAATTCCTAATTCAGTAATGTCTTGAATGGAAAGGAGGGGTGGTCCTCTATAGCTGACATTATTTATCTATGCTCTACTGGAAAAACTGCCTGAAACTATCATCTTTCTTCTCCCATCACACCTAAAACCATGTCAGAGGACATTTCGATGTTACTGTGTGTTCACATAAAAGCTGGGGTACTACATTTAAATGAAGTTTCTAAATTTTGCAGTAAACCTTTCATTACTTTTGAGGGTTTCAAACACTGTAGTGAAGAACTTGAATGCTTGTGTTGGCATTTTAGTGCTCTCATCCATGGTCATCTTGTATGAGTTTATTCTTTTTCACAGTTCTCTCTACAAAATGAGATCTTAATTTCTATGAAACAATCTAAATAAACAAAAAAATAAAATATAAAGGAATATTGTCTCGACTTTTTCAGTCGACACCACTTTGATGCAGTTTTATAAAGAAGAAGCATTATCGATTATTTATAACTTTTTTCCTTTAAAAACATAGATTGTTTGCTCTGTGAAATGTCAGAAATAATTAAAATGTCCATCACAACTCCCCAGAGCCCGAGCTCATGTGTAAACTCATCAAATGTGATATCAGCTACATCCCAATAATTTCTGAAAACGTTTACTGCAAAGGACCATGTAGTTTGGTACCATTTACAGAAAATTGGAGACAGACGGCATGGTAACCAAAATCAGATTTGAGAAATCCAAGACAATGCAACCTAACCCTAACCCCGCCCCCCCATCCCCGAGCCCTCTAAATCTGTTGCTCTCAAATCTGATACTGTGTTTACAAATCTGTCTCTGGGCACTGTCAAATGCCGTGGCTCTTTCTGGAAAACGTGGAAACATAGGAAATTATTTTGAAATCAACTGAAATTGTAAAGCAAAGTGTAACATACATATGTAAGTATATTTTAGGTATATATAGGACATATAGTTGCAAAAAAAAAAAGTAATGGCACTGTTTTAATTTCCCTTGTTTTTCTGCATAAATTGGTCACGAAATGTGTTTTGATCCTCACCAAAATCACAAATATCAACAAACACAATATTTACATGCTGATAAAACACAGTCATGGTCTTTCATGTTCTTATTAAACATACCCATTAAAGATGTGAAGCGATTGTGGAAAAGCTAATGGCAACACGTGGCCTCTGATGTCACTAAACATCAACTGGACTCAGGTATTTGCAAAATGGAGGTGTGGTTTAGAACTACCTTGACTTATAAGAATACTCAATTTGTGTCAGTGTGCTTGCTGTTCATAAGCAGCATCAGCTGATGTGAGCCATCTAGAGCTAGAGCTGATCTAGAGCTGTGGATTTCCATGTAGCTGGGAAGGGTTACAAAGTCATTTCAAAGACTTTAGATATACATCAGTCCATAGTTAGACAAACTGTCAGTGAATGGAGATGATATGATAATGTGGCTACCCTCCACAGAAGGGGGCGCCAGCCAAGATCACTCCAAAGGCACAACGCAGAATTCTCAGTGAGGTAAAAATGAACCCTAGAGTAACAGCTAAAGACTTGAAGGACTCACTAGAGTTGGTTAACATCTCTGTTCATGAGTCAACCATATGCAAAATGTTGAACAGGCAGGGTATTCATGACAGGACACCATAGAGGAATCCACTGCTCTCCAAAAACTACATTGCCACATGCCTGAAGTTTACATATTGGAAAAGATAACGCTCCACAACTTAATTCATTCACTTTAAAAAAGTCCTGTATTTTAATCTATGTCCTGACTAATTCCACTAAAGGATGAGTTTACAAATTTACAAATCAGTCTTTTAGCCTGTCCATCATACAGGTCCACCTTTGATGACAATAAGCACGAGCAAGTGACCATGCTCTTTGGGCATTCATTGTGTGTGCTAATAATACAATGGCAGCACTCTCCTCAAGTTGAATAATTGCAGCACAAAAACAACAACAGTCTGTTTGGTTTAATATCTTGAAGTTGCCCAGAAAGACATCCTGATAAGCAGCAGCCCCATAAACCGTGGAACAGCTCCTAGCTTAGGCATTTTAAAACTTAAAACAGCCATGGTTATCCATCTCTTGGTTTCTTTTAACAATACACAAAGTTTAAATGACATCTCTGGCCAGAGCCTTGTGTGGCAAGACTGGTAAACGGTCTTTTACTTGCATAGCACTTTTCTATGCATTGCACCATACTCGCACTTTTTGCCCATTCACTCATTTACATTGTCAAGCACTCACACATTCACACACTGGTGATATCACCAGGAGTAACTGGGGCCTCAAGGACACTTTGACATGTGGACTGGAGAAGCCGGGAATACGAACCGCCAACCTTCCAGTTAAGAGATGTATGTACCACTCTACATCCTGAGCCACTGCCGCCATCACTGTGTGAGGGTGTGAAGGTACAGTATGTGTGACTCATGGAAAATTCTTCTTTATAGTTTGTTTGTTGTTAGAAAGGTACTGCATATGTGCAGTCCATTTTATGATGTGTTCCTGAATTCAGCCACCTGGCAGTACAGACAATAGTTAAAATTAGCCAGATATTTATACATAATTATAAATAAACACGGTTCTGAAATGGGACATTCCATAAAAATAAATAACAATGATCACTCTACTTTTTATATTTTAATTTGATACTAGTGCTTTTACTTAATTAAACATTTGAATGCATGAATTCAATTGTAACAGAGTATTACTACACTGCAGCAGGAGAAGATCTGAGTACTTTTTCCATCACTGATAAAAAACAATGCAACCTCCAAAACAATTATTCAGTTTAATCAACACGTTTCCAAAACACTTTGGACAAAACTGAACATTATTATAACCTTGATTACACATGTATGGCTGTGTACAAATAAGCTGGCAAAGGACTGTATTCAGCCAAATAGTTCAGTCCATTAAATACATAATACAGCGTTAACAGTGCTGAGTGTAGAGAATGAGTTTTCTCGTGCACACTGGTTGAGCAGTGTAGTCCCACAAAACAAACCAGAGGAACAAATTCACATACATTTAAATAAACTGCTCAAAATATGTACAGACCTCTATTTATAAGTACTTTACTCTTATATTTTTTTTATCTCTTTTCCTAATGCACATTCCTTTGCTTGTTGACACACTGAGGGCCACTGTACCAGAGTCAAATTCCTGGTGTGTCCAACACACCTGGCCAATAAAGCTGATTCTGATTCTGAAGTACTGTACTTACAGTTTTGTATGGAAATAGATTTGTGTATCAGAACTTTGTTTTTCCTATGCTAATTTTTTTGATTTACTTTTACTTAAGTAGATTTTTAAATGCAAGACTTTGTAACAGGAGTTTGGCATTGCTGTGTTATTATTTAAGTGAAGGATCTGAGAACTTCATCCATTGTGTAACTGTTAAATATTTAAACTTAAAGCAGGCTGGTGCACAAACTAAGCATGTAAATCAAATTACCAAACATCTCCATAGACAGGCCATTTTTTCCGTATTACTTCCTACGTTTTTAAAATGTAAGAAGCAATATAATCCAATTTCCAAATCCTGTGTCGTCTTGTCGTCTGTCCAAAACTACACTAAATCGGCAGTAGGTGGCGTGTTGAGCGTTTCTATGTGGTCTGTCATCAACCGGAGAGGAAGGAGGATGAGGAAGTGGCCGGAGCAGAGGACTGGACCTGGAGATGTATCTAGCTACTTACAGTCACTGAACTAGCTGAGCAGCTAGATAATAGTATTTGACAATGCGATGGGTAACTGCTGGGCATACTGTGTCGGGCTTTTCAGGAGAGAAGCCAACAGGATCCAGAGAGGAGGCGGGTAAGTGAAACGTGGCTTTAGCCCGGTGAGCTAACTGACTAGCATGCGAGCATCACCTGAGTCAGCTGTTAACGTTAGCTAACAGTGGGTTAGCTGATAACTGATATCACAGTGTCTTGGCAACTCCGTGTGCATTTAGCCGGGTAGTGTTATTGTATCCAAGAGATAAAGGTCAGTCAATAAGTTACTGTAAAATCTCTGTGGGATCCGGTCTGCACTCATTCACTGCTAGCAGGATTTGAGACCCCACCCTGACTGTCAACAGTCTGCCATGTAACGTTAGGTTGTATTAATGGGAGCCCTGGCTGCTAGGGCTAGTCAGGCGGCCTTTGACAGTGACTAACGTTACTGTTTGGACATTGTAGTTCAGTGTGTAATCTCAGACCTGCTGCAAATACTGGGTCTCCGTTTTCCATTTTATTTGCATGGGGTGTCAGCAAGTGTAGGATTTTTGGAGTTTGACTTTCAAGTCTCTTCCAAAGGTTTACATATTGGAGCTGAGAAATCAAGAATCTCATTATAAAAGTGTACAGGTCCACTTTCCAGCTCCCATTAGCATTGGAACAGCCAACATAACTAACTGGAGTAAACTTGGGGCTTTTCACTCACAGTGGGAAAACTGAATGAAGTTGAAATAAAAAAAATAAAAAAAGATATAGGACTATGCTTTATGACCCAAATCTCATATCTTGCAATAGGTAAATTCTAATTGAAGGATACAAATTACAGTATAGAACATTTTCTGTAAATTCAGTGGTGATTATATAAAATAACTATGTGAAAAGCCCTATTTCTTAATACATTTTGAATTATAAACTCAACAAATTAAAGGTACTTATTTATATTTGGTTATTTTTCTCCTTTAATTTAGAGCCTTTGCACATTTTCAATTAAGCATGTAACAGAAACATGCATAAGATATAAAAGGATAAAGAGAAAACGCTTCTTAACTAGAGTTGCAAATAAAATAAATATGTGCCTAAAATGTAAATATGATCAAAAATATAAAGACTAAACATATAAAACCCTTTAACAGCAGCTGTCATAGCAAACTAAAATGAATACAGGGCCATTGTTAATGTTATTAAAGCTAAGTTCACATTAGTTGCTAAACTGACTTATCTAAGTGTTTTTTATTCAATCTTTTATTTTGCTGCCATCTGTGTGTGTGAAATTAGAAGTGTGTTAACTGGATTTAGTTTCTTGTGCTCATGTCCTCTTGCTTCTGCTTACAGGTCTAAATATTTCCGTAGCAGTACCACAGGGGAACATTATACAATAGAGGTATGAGTCTTACATTTACTACTAGTGCTGCTTTCTTGATTGAATGAAGGATTGTGTGACTTTATTCATTTAACTGTGACTTTTTAATTTTGCAGTTTGAAAACCTGGTAGAGAGCGATGAAGTAAGTCTCACCATCTTTCAGATGATGTTAGGCTCTATTTATATTTTACCCCTACCCAAATATATTTATGGAAAATATTGTTGGTGAGTCTGTGGTCCGCTCAACAGTTATTGTTCTTTTATGCTGTAAAAGACTAAGTAAGTGTTTTGAGACGTATAGTCTAATTAAAAGCTGCAGAATTTCCTGTGATAGCGATCCTCCACCCTTGAATAAGAGAAAGCAATAGGTGGACCTGCAGCACACCCAGCACTTTGATACAGTAGTCTTTCATATTTCCTTTCAGAGAGTGATTCAGTTATTATCTTTAGAGTAGCACTGCAGTCAAACAGTACAGTAGGGAATATGTGTTTTACACTGGAAGTCAGCGTGACATGGTCACATCTTCTGTTTGTTGCATTGCAGGGGGAGGGAGGGAGCCCACAGCCCTGCCCCAGGTTATTGGTCTTATGTCACTAAAATAATCATGAGTGTTCTTTGACAAAAAAAAAACTGAAAGAATTTGAAAGACTAGTTTACCTTCCATCTGTGTTTTTTTGTTGTGTCATTAGGCCCATCAGTGAAGATGAGATAAAGCACCTCAAAGAACACCACTACACTGCAATCTCAGACAAACAGATCCTAATAGACCAGAAGCTCCGAGTGGAGGTAGGACACTGTTTAAAAGAGCATCTGTCTTTTTTCAGTTAACAGCCCCCATTATTTCATTTTCCATTTAAGACCTAATTTCTGCTTATTTTTAATTTGCTGTGCTGTTTTTTTCTGTTTTTGTAATTTTCTGTTCTTGTTCTGTGTGTTTCATTTTGTTGTTTCTGCTCAGTTAGAGGCACAAGAGGAGAAGTTAAGGCTAGAAGAGGAGGCTAGAAATGCTGCCCAGCGTGAGGCCGCCAGGTTGGCACGTGAACGCAAATTGACGGAGGTGAGGCGGCACTGCGCGCTCCCTTCTGAGCCTGATTTATTGCTTGGCTAAAACAGCTTCTCCTCTGACCTACTGGCCCTGTGCAGAGGCTTCTCAGTCTTCTGTCTTTTAAGAGGACACAATGATGCTTTCTCTGTCGGGTTTGTGTCTTCATCAACCCGTCCTTGTCACCCAGTCAGGAACGTTGTTATCCGTCTTAGTACTTTAGTTATCTGACAAATAACTTGTTAACATTGCAGTATTCCTAAGCATCCTGTAGATAGAAGAAATCAATAGGTACAACCTATAGGTGCAGTGGAACAATGCTAACTATCAGTATTTCAGTCACATTATAGTGGAGAGGCAAAAAAGTCATTTATTTCACTTCAGGATGAATTATAACTATTAGATGGTGTATAATATACACATATTCATATTTACTGTGCAAGCACTAAAGTGCCAATAGACACAACTGGCAATAAACCTTATTCTTAAGTACAAGCAGTGAAATGAGGAAAAGATGAGGCTCATGCTGCAGAAAATACCATATGATTTTTGGCTTATAACAATCAGTGCAGCCCCCACAGTCACATTAGGCATCAACAGAGAGATTTGGTGTATTGGAATATAATAATATCGTAGCAAGAAATTTGTTCTGTATCTTGGCTTCATATTTCAGGAGTGTTGTGTGACAGGAGTGTGGAAAAGAGGTGAAGAGGCAAGTGCAGGCAGGTTGGAGTGGGTGGAGAAAGGTGTCAGGAGTGTTGTGTGACAGAAGAGTGGCAGCAAGAATCAAAGCAAAGGTGTACAAGACAGTAGTGAGACCAGCTATGCTGTATGGGTTAGAGACTGTAGCAGTGAGGAAAAGACAAGAGGCAGAGATGGAGGTAGCAGAGATGAGGATGTTGAGGTTCTCTTTAGGAGTGACCAGGATGGACAGGATTAGGAATGAGCACATCAGAGGGACAACTCAGGTCGGCTGGTTTAGGAACAAGGTCAAAGAGGCCAGATTGAGATGGTTTGGACATGTGCAGAGGAGGGATAGTGGTTATACTGGTAGAAGGATGTTGGAGATGGAGCTGCCAGGCCTGTTGGTCAAGAGGAAGGAGAAGAGGAGATATATGGATATGCTAAAAGAGGACATGAAGTTAACTGGGGTGAGAGTAGAGGATGCTGAGGATAGAGTTGGGTGGAAACAGATGATTCGCTGTGGCGATCCCTAACGGGAACAGCCAAAAGTAGAAGAAGATGATCTTGGCTTCATATTTCCTGTACTGGTTCAAGGAAAAGGTCTGAAAATTGCTTTATTATGTGATATAACAGAAGTGTGACTGTCACCATGCGGATGACGTGTCTTGATTGCCTCTCATGCCACATTCCACTGCTTCTCTGTCACTGCTTTATGTTAGTGTTACTTGCTCATGTTTACTTTATAGTACCAACATTGCTAATTAATATAGTGTGTATTTAAATCATGGAAGGATATGACTGTTTCTACTTGTTATATGGTCTTTTTGTAAGCAGTCGTCTGGCCAGAGGACACGGGGGAAAGCAGATGGCTCTGGTGGTGAAATTCAACGAAGAAAGTGAGTCGTTTAAACTCATCAGACAATGGGGTAGTTGTTGAGCTGGGTGCAAGCTGCAGTCCTGAGGGATCTGCATGTGTTTCAGTAGGCATCCTAAAGAGGACAGCATTGCAGGATACATTTTTAAAGGCTCATGAACAAGTCCTCCATCCACCTCAGGTGGTGGTAGAAAACCAGACCCTGCAGCATCCAGCAAATGAGCTGTCAAGTAAATTGTTTGAATCAGCATATCTATCTGTTAGCCCCTCAGCTGTATGATACTGCCATTTGTTGCTATTGGGCAAACAGAAACTTGTTTCTTATTTAAGTTCTCAACAGAAACACTGATCCAGTGAGCACTGCAGGCACACAGTGTGTAGGCTGTAGAAATGGTACTGCAGCACTACAAAGTGTCCAGTCTTCTTGAATTTCACTGTGCAGTGACGATGAAAGGAGCCAGCAAAGCTGAGCACACAGCCTCCTTTCATTTCTTCCAAATGTTAAGCAGATTTGTTTTTTAAAGGAGAGATGATTTTTGTGCATGTGCATGCGTTCTCATCTGCCCAGCCATGTGTTATGCCTGTTGACTGTCCTTGTGAACTGTTTCAGACAAACCTCAGGGGAAGATTTTGATGTCTACCTCCAGAATGTGAAAGCCCAGTCTGAGGCTTTCAGGAGCAACAGTGAGTGAACCCTCTAGCCTTAATTATAACACCTCTAATAATACACAGCTACTGGTGCAAATAAAAAGGCCATATTTTCATTGTTTATCATTTTAGGGAACCCTGTGTTTCACTGGAAATACATGTACTCTTTGTTTCCAGGACTTCCCTCTGACACAAACGTGGTGACTCCCAACACGGAGTGCAGCTGGGATTTTACCACAAAGACCCGCTCCACCAATGATGACGGGACCTCTCTGGATCTAGAGTGGGAGGACGAGGAAGGTGGGAAGTTACTTCTCACTGTGATTAGAAAGCTCATGCTCACTGAGCAGCTGATTCTACTCTCAGGTTGTTTCCTTTGGATCCTCAGCTGGGTCACAAACCATAGATCTAACAGTTCTGTGACTTGGATCACACTTTGTCCCATACAGCTGACGTAGCTGTGTGATCCTTTTGGAGGCTGTAGTTTGTGCTGCTGTTGGATTGTGTGACATTATACAGAGAGATGTTTCTGTTATTCAGCCTAGCCTCAGTGATATAAACGGGGTGGACAGAATAATATAAACACCTGTCAGTATAAGGCAGTAGAGTTCTGCAGCCTCCACAGTAACACCTCTCTAAAACAGTCTGAACAAAACCTGAACATCACTTCCACTGGAGGAGGGTTTGCAAACTGCCAGTGGAGTGTAAAGTGTAGTAGTGAACTGAATGTCTTTGGGATTTCAATCGAGCAAAGACATTTGGAGACGTCATCTTGGGCTGAGAGAAATTATACCAAAAATTGACACTATTTTTTGAGATTTTATAGATGAATGATTAATCTAAATCATAACTGGTAGCTTTATACGTATATAACTACATAATACTACAAATAAATACTGTATTGCATCTAAGTTAGGTTACAATTAAATGTGGTATGTAAAAGTTTGAAATTTATTCTGGAGCGTCAGTGAGCAGGTTACATGGATTGTGGCCCCTGTGAGCCACCAGATTAGTGCCTGCAGCCTTTGTTTCACTTTAGCTCCCTCCACTGGCAGAATGAAAGCTTGTGTCCTTGCATTGTAGGAATCAATCGAACACTTCCAGCTTGGGAGAGGTCTCGGACCGAGGAGGACATCCTGCGTGCAGCCCTGAGGCCCGGCGGCAAGCAGATGAACAGCGGCCCGACCTCAGCTTCTGAGGACTCCAACGCACTGGAGTGGGAGAATGATTTTGTGAGTACTCACCCAGAGGACGGTGCAGACACTGAATTTGAAGGGTTTGTCAATCCTGTCCTAGACACCCCCTCTGAGGATGCCTCAGACTGTGGCCTCAGGTCGGATGAGCAGAACAGATAGTGTCCAGCACTAAAGGAGACGCCTGCAGTGCCCTCTTCATGTCGAAGCTCACCAGCTTTTTGCCACATGAAATGGAAACGTACTTATTGTAATATGAGACTCTGCTGCTGCAGGAACATGTTGTGGCTCTCTACACTACAGTGTACAGTGTAGTGATTTTTTTTTTTAAACTCATTTTTCAGTGCCTTCATTTGCTAAATCAGCTGACCATTTTATGCACTGCAGCAGATCAGTTACATCCATTGTCATTTGACACATTGTTCAGTAAGTGCTTCTTCTCAATGCACAGAAACCAAAATGTTGTCAAGCACATATGAAGGGAAACTTTACTGTAGGAGCACATAGCTGCTGTAGCAACTGTGTGTTATACTCCCTACGAAAAATGGAGAGTGTGTCATGCAGGACCATTTATTAAGGTATATTTTTCAGTGTCGGTGGGGGATTTGTCCTCTGTGTTTGACCCCTCCTGACTGCCTAGCAGCTGCAGACAGCCACAAAATAGTGCCCGTGGACCAAATTCACCTTTAAGGCCAGAGTCTTGCTCAGTGGTGTTGGCAAGAGTGTTCTTGCATGTGTTTTGGGGTGGAAAGAAACCAACAAAAGCACAGGAAAAAAACCATCCAAACTCCTCACTCTGACCTTAGTCCCTCTCCTTTGTATCAGCTCTGTCCTTTTAGGTTTATTAAGTTACTGCATGATGGCAAAAAAGGAAGTGAATTCTATATATTTGCTGATGACAAAGTTATAACATCGGGTGAAACAGTTTTAATGAATCAATATAATGATAGCCACTGTTTCCACGTTTGAGCCAACGCCCAGGGTTGTTTCTTCAGCTGCTTGGGGTGGTGATTGGGCGTTGTCTTGTGAATCATGGATTGATTGCTCAGCATAGTCTTGTATAGTTTTCCTCACTTTGTTGGACAGCGATCAGGGATCAACGCTGGTTATGGCTCTGCACAGCCTCGAGCAAGGCCGCTGATGTTAGTGGAAAGCTGACAGCGGGTGAATGAAGGTACAGTTTACGATGTTTAAGTAGTATTGATTTTGACCATTATTCTGCATCCACATACAGTGTATGTATGTTATGTCATCAATACAAACAGCTGGTGTATAGAAAAATTATTAAGATGTTAATGTGAATAACTGCTCTGAAATACAGAGGACCAGTGGCAGAAGATGCAATATACTGTTGGATCGAACATAATCAAAACTCCCTCGTTGTACCTGCTTGAGAAACAGATGTGACTGATACTTGATGAGTCACTGCCATCTGGTGTTTGGCTTTTATTCTGGAGATAAATCATTTTTGAGTGTAATGAATGTTCATTTAATCCGATCTGAACCAGAAAACATAAATAATCTGATTGTCAGTGTTGGAGGACCCAAGCGTCCTGCATCAGTTACTGCAAGAAAACAATATTTGGGGGAGAGTGTCTGAGTCTGGAGGAAAAAAGTCCAGTGTTACCAAATGTGCAAACATGACTCCGTGGCCTGAACTTCGTCATGTTCCTGTAACTGTGCTGCTCTCCCAAGGGAATCTCCTGTATAAACTAATCTAGTTCACGTTTTCATTCACTTTTTATAAGCTGATAGTTCGGCCCATCACAGATGTTCGAGCACGAATTCAAACAATATCTTTCACATTGATCGGTTTGAATCCTTGGCAGTTTACAGGTTTCACTTTGATGTGCGCATTTGTTACTTGGTTTCAGAAGACCTTCACTGAAATAATTAGTTTGTGTGAAGAGCCAAACGTGCACTGCTGTTGAAGTGTGTAGAGGCATTTTAATCCTGAATATTGAACGTGTAATTTAAAAACTATGTTTTTAAATTACATTTAAATGTTTTGTTTTGCTGTGATTATATGAACTCTAATCACTGTAAATCACTGTTTTCTGTAGTTAAAAAAAACCTTTACATTCCTTGACACACTGAGCCTAAGAAAAAAAATTTAAATATATAGAAAATGTCTTGGGCATCACTTACATTCACTATCACTGCCTAAGGTACATTGGATACTTTATTTGGCTTTATTTTATCAGAAATATTACCTGAACTGGTGATATTAGTCGCTAGACACAAGTAATGTTCATTTTGTCATTTTAAAGTGATATTTCACACTGGTAGGATGTTGTCATTTCTCTAATAAACACACTTGAAGTTCAGGACCCAAAGGTGACAAACCAAAGTAATTTGGATTTATGGATTTGTTTGTATTGTTTGCATCTGGATTGATATCATTGCCTGTATCACTGAGGTTTTCCTGGTTAAATAAAAGAAAGAAGATTTATGAGAACTACAGATGGCATCTAAACCAATATGAAGTCACATTACAATAGAAATGACTGATCTAAAAGACCAATTAAAAGGTAGATCCAGTACTAAACTCTCTTGTCAGACCTTGGGGAAAAGAATGAATTCTAACAGTGGAAATGTCACTTTAACCAGAGGTACTGAAAAGAGGCCCAGAGACTGTTTACACTGCACTGTGTGTGTGTGTGTGTTGTTAGTGACTGTCTGTCATAGCTCACCACCACTATGGTTCACAGTCTTGAGTCCCTTTGGACGCACTGTTCAGAACACTGTCAGCTCATCCACCAAAGCCTATTTATTGTACAGCTAATCATTTTCATTAAACTTGGTACTGGTGACTGGTGTGCTCACTCAAATGATTCACATAATCACATGACTTGGTTGAGGACAAATAAGCAATAAAACTCCTCAGTTGATGCTGACTGTATTTCTCTCCTTGAGGGACTGTTGATCAATGTTATTCTCATTTTCAAATATAAAGCAGGATTTTGATGGAGGCAACAAACCACCTGCAGGAGCCAGCGTTCGTGGGAATGGGCTGTCAGAAATCTGTGAGGTGTGTCTCAAACTGAAACGGTCTTCATGTTGCTCTGCGTTTAAAATAAAATGGTGATTCGTCTCCCTGCCGGTTCATTAAGGTGTTATTCATTGACTGCGCCGAGCACACTGTGCCGGGTAATAACCTTGTGAAAAATCATCTGAACAGGAAGTGATGTATTTTATGTTTCTGGGTTTTGGCGTAAGCAGAAGACGACTTGTGTTTTTAACGGGCCGTGATAGACACCATGCCTGAAGAGTAAAGCAAACAAAAAAAAACTCTTGACTACATCAACACTAAATATCTTTATTTAAACGGTGTCATCACCTGAGGACTCTGTGCACTTCAGACTTTGTTGAGCACTGACTCTTTACCTACAGTATGTGATTGCCTGTCAGTGCAAGATGTGCAGGGAGTAAACACTAATAATGGCTCAGCAACCAAAGTCATAGGTACGGAAGACTATTAGGGCCACTGCATAATTTTTTTTTTAAATTCTGACTTTATTCTCAGAATTCTGAGTTTAAAGTCAGAATTAAAAAAAAAAAACTTATGCAGTGGCCCTAATACTCTTCCGTACATAGGGGTGTGCTGGATAAAGGAATGGCATTTTATTGTTAAGGGTCTCAGAGTTTCTAATCCTACTGAGTGTAGTAATGTGACAAATCAAAGGAAAACTAGCAGTGTGGTAACTCAGGTTGGTATATTATTACAATGGTTAGAGATACAGTAAATCACATGCTTCAAGAAATAACATGACTCTGTGTGATGGTTGTTACTGTAAATTTAAATGCAGTGTTCAATCACGCTGCAGTGAGACATTTGGCACTTGTTACACAAATGCTACTTATAAGCTGTTTTGTTAGATAAAGACAGAAGAAGTGTTGTCACTGCAATCACTCATCTGTACTTTGATGATATTCTTTAGAGGGGAGTTTGTCACACAACAGAATTTTGCACATGAACAACAAGAATGTAAATTTTGTAGATTTACCCTTTAAGAGTTTTCTGGGTTGCTCCTGTAGATGCCAAATAATTTTACAAGATAGTATGTGCCTCATTTTTTTGTAAATAAGTCTGCCCTTTGCAGATGTGCATTGTCATGGCATCGTGAGAAAGATGGGTGTCTGGACTGTTTTTTTGTGTGTGTGCAAAAATGCTGTTTTGTTCACAACTGTTCATTTGAATATTTAATTCGATCAAAGTAAAGTCTGAGCTACTGATACTGGAGCTGACATAAGAGGCTGGAATGTAAACCTATTATGAAATTGACTGTGGGGCTGACAGATAACTGGTTCTCATCATAAACCTGCACTAAGCACATTTGCCAGTGATTTACAGATTATGACAACATTTTGATGAGAATTTTAAAATAATTTTTCTAGTGGCATGTGACATTTTAGGTTTTATTAGATTGAAATGAATCAAGCTTCATAATAAACCAGTACCTGAGTCATTTTGTGTAGTTAGTACTGTAATACCTCACACTGTATCATGGCTGTGACACACAGACTGATGACTTCTGACTGCATCATCCATTTTGACCCAGTAAATCTCAATGTTTAAAATTACAAACAATTACATAAACAGAAAAGCATCCGCTGCTTCCATCAAAGTTGGAAACAAAGCCTGGCACATATTTTGTGTACTTGCCTTTTTTATCGAACAAATTTCATCCACCTTTTAACAATAACTTACAGTTCATCTGTATGATAAAAGCTTCAACAGGCAAGGCTCCTGCACAGGTTTTTTGCAGGGGGGCATAAAACTCAGCGAATGCCAAATCTTGAAGTGTGGAAGTCACACAAGAATTTTTGCAAAGTGCAAATATTGGATTTGTTGTGTTGCATTAGTAAGATTAGGCATCTGATATATCACAAACGTGGGATATAAAATAGTAAGAACAGCACTTTTCATCTGCACTGTGGCATAACATCATGAAGGTACATTGAAAATCAGCTAACATTTTTACATTTAACTGTTAGGCCTAAGTCTCTTACAAGGCAAGAAAAACACAGTAAACACTTTCTTTTTCTGTTTAGCCTGGTTACCCGCAATGGCTGGATTGTGTAGCAGAGGCTTCAATGAAGGAAGATCAAGTTTTAGTAAGTAGCTTGTCAATAAATTGGTGTTTTAAACATACCCTTACAGCCCGTGACTGGCCCTAGGTTGTCCTCTAGTGGTTGAACTTGGACACCGTGTTTCATCTGCAATCTGATCACCGAATGAAGAGTCCACACAACGTTACTCTAACAGAGCGCAGCAATTCGTCTACTGAAATGGGGGTAGGATACTAGAATATTATTAGTTTGATTGGTCAATGTGAAACCTATTAACAACGCGGGGGAGGTGTCGAACAAGTGACTACAAAGGACAGCACAACAAACCGCAGACTGAGTGGAGCCAGCTTCTTGTGAGACGTTTCAGAGCCGCAGCACGACCACCGTAAGTATCAAACTTCACACGCCAAAACATCAAAAACAGCTGTAAAATACCAGGTATCATGTCTATGTAGTTAAAAGTCCAGCTGTTTATCTTGTATTTGATGTTTGCGACCGCAACAATCCAGCTCCAGCTGTCAAAGGTGGACAGTTTTATGTTCAGAACATTTTCTGATCTATGCGCAAGGGAAGTTTATCAAGGTTATGATAAGTTAGCCACTAAATGTTATGTCGTTATATTGGTAAATGGTTTAAGACAGTGGTTATATTCAATGTTGTGTTAAAATGTTTTAGGCAGTAAGTGTGAAACTCCCCCTCGGCTGTGACACCAAAGCGAGCACTAGTTTGTCAGGAACGTTACAGCGGAGTGATATATGCTGCGCTTCTCCAGTCTACTAATGTCCAGCTCTGGGAGGACATGGCACGGGAAGAATGAGGGAAGGTGTGGAGGAAACGAGAGGAAATCTTTAAGAAAGTAGGAATTCTGTCTTAAACATCCACAAGAACATCCCTTACTATGGTTTGCGCATGTTGTTAAAAGGTATGTAACTAAGCAATTATTCAATTTAAAAAGAAGAGTTCGGCTCTAGTGAGCTACATCAACAGGGTATGCTGAGTAGTCTCACCGCTTTCCCTCGGAGGGCTGGGCTAACAGCTAGCATAGCTTATCCTCAGCTGTGAGAAGTTCAAAAAGTTTCTGGAATGGAGGAGGAGGAAGAAGAGTGAAGTAACCCAGTCTAACCGTTAAGAGGTAGAAATCGTTGGCTCATGAAGTTGCATATTATAGTGTAAAAGAGTGCCTTCAAACGTTTGACGCTTGAACCAGGTGGTGGTAGTTTTGAGGTGGTTGACTATAACGTTAAGTTTAACGAGTTGTTTGCTTAACTTTAGCTAAGCTAATGTTAAGTAGCAATTCCCGAGGTTGCTTACATTAGCTTGCTACGCTTCAGGTTTAACATTGCCTAATGCCGTTGAAATACTGTTTCATTTTATGACTGAGCATTTTCGTGATAAGTTAAATCGGATTAGGGAAAACGTTTTTTTTACCTTTGTTTAGGTATTTGTGTAACGTCAGATGCGTCTTTTTAAACCTCTTCCCTCTCTTTCTCAGGATGGGGGTGGTACTGACCGAATCATCCTTCCATATTGTCTGTTGCTTGTACTTCATAGCTTGTTATTCTTACTTGTCAAGCATTTCACACGGTAAAGCGAAGTATAACTCTTGAATCTTTCAATTTACGAACGTTATTAAATTAATGTAGCCTTATGGTTACATTACTCAGTTTAATCGAGAAGAGACAAGTTGTGATAAGCTACTAACGCAGGCCAGTGTAACTGTGATTAAGGATTTCGTGTTTGTTTACCACCTAGTTGGCTTCGGCTCCAATTTGTATGAGCTTCAGAGAAGTATTAATATTAGCATGTTAGCTACAGTTGGTAGTATGCTGTGCATCAAGCTGAGTGCCCATGACATGCTCATTTCCAGCCATGTAATGTTTGATCTTGGGTACCTCTAGGTTAGCTTTGCCCCCATCACAACTTCAAATAGTCAGTAATTATTTCAGAACAGTAAAACCAGGGATTCTCCTCCTGAAATGAGGGCATAGTTCGTGAACGCCTACAGCTCCTGCTGCCGGTGTTTTGTCGAAATCGGTTTCCCTATCCAGATGTTTTCCCTAACATAAATCCTAACATTATCCTAACCACAACCATTGAGGTTGAGGAAGGTGCTACATGAAACCAAGTTTTGAACAGGGGAAGCACATCTCAGTGGGGGAACATTTTTTGACACAAGACTGGTCAGGAATCTGGGGACAAATAATACAAAAAACATTGACAAATAAGTTACATTTTCGACAATGACTGTGAAATCCTACCTGACATGTTCGAGCCAGAATATGAAAGTGGACATCATGATGAACTGCAACAGTATTAATTAATTTGAGTTTCTCCTCCATAGATAGGTAAACAACGGTATATGTACTGATGAAAAGAGATCTATAACACTCTAAACAAAGCATGTAATTAAGGAAACCCTATATTTAACTAGCATAATTCAGACATATAAACCTTTCCAACCTTACAACAGTTCTCTTTGTTACCGAAACAACATATTGACAGACATGTAATGTGTGTGTTTTTGTTTGTGGTTTTTTTTATTTTTTATGTTTTATTTATTTATTTTTAAACTTGTGGTTAAGTCCCCCCAAGTAGTGGAAGCTTAGCACTGACAATAATATCATGGACCGTTAATGCGCAACACATCACTTGCGGCAGACACAGTGGCCTCAGTCAGTCAAAACAAACAACTACTGTTCTCCAGTGAAATCCAGCATCGATGATCTGATTATTTACCGTGGCGGTAAATGATCACGGTAAACGCTGCTTGTAGGTTAGACCTGGCCAGGTAAAACAGTGAGTCCCTGTACATTTTTCTCTACATCTTCTGGCCACAGTGCAGCAGCAGGAAATAAAATATATCCACAAAATGCAGTCTCAAAATTCTGCTTTTACAATGGCACAGGTGGGTGTCAGGCAAGCTCATAAGAATGCACAACTGCCTGGAGATGATGCCCATTCAAAGAAATCCTTAAACTATCATGTAATACTTGTAGTTAATTTTGTTAGAAAGAAAAGTCTCACAAGTGAGAGTTTAAAACAAGTTGATTCTGCATAGAAATCTAGAACATGCATACACCTCATATTTTGAGCTTTAGGTTGCATCTAAGATGATGATCTACCATTGTAACATTGTAGATAAGTCAGAAAACAAGGAACAGCATGCCATGGGCTTGTTAAGCTGTTAAAATATACGACAATTGTCTGTGGAAAATTTGAATCCCCTCTTGTGAACAACAGTCACATACAAATAAGGCTTTGACTGTACAATGTGCCATTGGAGAATTTTTGGGACTTTTTTTTTCCCCCCCCCTAGTACATATAATGTGTAAGTCATATTTCTGTATATTGACTATATACTCAGGGTTTCTGAGGCAGCCACTGATAATTATTGTCAGACAAATCTTGATTTAACTTAAATCATGGTTAAGGTTAATTCAGCCCCTAATTGGTAAATCAAGGGCTTTGGTTCTCTTCGCTAACCCTCATTCAGAATGTGTGGTCATGGTTGATTTGATTTTCAGCCTTTGATGGTGGAAACACAGAGCTTTTGATGTGAGCTGTTATCAGTTTGGGGGTGATGATCAACTTTATCTGAAGGATTAGTCAGTGTGATTCACATCAGGTTTTGATTTGGCTTTAGTTGTTTTTTCAGGGAAGTTGTATGTACCATGTGTTTAAATGATGGTTAGACAATGTATCTGCTTGTCTCAGGCAGGGCAGACATGTCCATATGTTGAAATCTGTCATTGCTCACTTAACACTGAACTGATGAATCACTGCTGATCCAGAGGCCTCATTGCATCTGGGTCTCTATGTGGAAACATTTACAAGCTGAAAACGTTTGTGTGCACACATGTTCAACTCCAAAGCTGAAAACGTTTGTGTGCACACATGTTCAACTCCAGGAGATTTCCCTTCGCTTTCATGTGATTGTAGAACAATGAGCAGTGGAAGTGGGTGCAGTGCTGTTGGACAGCTGTATGCTGTAGGGAGGGATCAGGACAGAGATGGGCTGAGGGAGGAAGCAGCTCTTTGTGCTCACATCCTTTTTGTCTAGGGCCGGTTTTATAAGCCCCCAGACAGGCACTGCTGCTTCAAGCTACATGTTTCACTGTCTGCTTGCTGGGGTTGCCTGATGTGAATTTTAAGGGTGCCATAAATTACAACATGGCTTTTTCATATTGTGTTTTAATACTCAGAATCACTGATATAGGAGGTGAAAACTGTATTTTGGAAGGGCACTTAATGGAGAGATCCAGATTTTAGCCAATCTGGATTTAAATTTTGTTTGAGGCCAAATTAGTAATTTTGTTATCTACTCTGTGTAATCATGTACTTAATAGGAAATAATCCATGATTTTTTTTTTTTTTTTTTTTTTTTTTTTTTTTTTTTTGGGCCACTGGTCAGGACAAAAGTAAATATTTTGTTTAAGCTTACACTTTAAGCCTTGTGTGTGGTGCTTTGTTTCTCCTCATGTTTCTTTTCATATTAATGACTGTCTGCAAGTTCTACACCTACCAGATAACACCATCATCTTAGTTTCAGCAAAACTAGGTGTCCTCATAGAAATAATGTCAGATCAAAAAGAAGATGAAGGGCTTTTTGATCATTCTTTTGATTAAGAATAGTTTGTCACATGCTTTGATATATTGAACTGAAAATGTTAGGAATGCTTGTTAATCTAGATACAGAATGCCAAGAGAGACAAATAGGTGTTTTGCTGATCTTTCTGCTCTTTGTTTTGTTTTTTTGTTTTGCAGAGGGCTTGTGGAGCAAAGCACTGCATTGATTTGATAAATCATCTCGGAGAGGAGTTGGGAGTTGTTGAGGAGAAGCGGTTCATACTTTATTTCTAAGTCTGTCAGCTTGCACAGGTGAGACCTGCTGCAGTGTGCTTGTTGACAGAGGTCCTGATCTCCGCTCCTGCAGTCTGCGCCCCCCACCCCCTTCCATCAGTGGTGGTGACCCAGCTCCGGACAGCTTGCTGCAGGGCCCTTCCTGAGCAGCAGCAGCTGCGTCCTGCTTGCTGACTCCCCTCCCTCCCCTGCTTCCTGTCCTTGGTTAGACAAGACTAAAGCCTCCTCTCCCATACCCCACTCATCTGTCGGACTCTCATACTCACACAGTTCCTCCTTGTTACTTACATTATAGCCTCCACCATGACCTCGATGTCTAGTCTCTTCTCCTTCACAAGCCCAGCAGTCAAACGCCTGCTCGGCTGGAAACAGGGAGATGAGGAGGAGAAATGGGCAGAAAAGGCAGTGGATGCGCTGGTGAAAAAGCTGAAAAAGAAAAAAGGTGCCATGGAGGACCTAGAGAAGGCCCTGAGCTGCCCGGGACAGCCCAGCAAGTGCGTTACGATTCCAAGATCACTGGATGGCCGGTTACAGGTTTCCCACAGGAAGGGCCTGCCTCATGTCATCTACTGCCGTGTGTGGCGCTGGCCTGATCTCCAGTCCCACCATGAGCTCAAGCCCCTGGAGGTGTGTGAGTACCCGTTTGGATCCAAACAGAAGGAAGTCTGTATCAACCCATATCACTACAAGCGAGTGGAGAGTCCTGGTAGGTACTTCAGCCGTCTCCAATCAGAGCGCTTGCTATTTGTTATACTCAGCGGTTTGGCACTGACTCTCAGCTACTGTATTTATCCCATCTTCATTATCCCATGCATTTAAATTAACACATTAAGATGTGCCATACTTGTTCTTATTTACACAACTCTTTTTCAGAACACCTTTTTGATGCTTGAAATTGCTTTTAAAACTGTTTTATTTAAGTCACTGTCATTTCCAAATCTGTGCAGTTGTAATGACTGGCACACATGCAACTGAAAAACAGCATCTGTGTTGTTTTTAAGTTAATGGATGACAGCAAATGCAAGACTTTGTGCACCTCTTCAGATCCCTTAGGAGTAGCTCTGAGTAAACTGTGGAGCTGGTGATCAAATCCTCAAAGGTCAGGAGGATGTCATCACATGGGCCTGCTCCATCCACCCCCCTCCACTTTACAGAAAATCAATATCACGATGTCTTTTGGAGCCTTATTAGATTATTTGCCTCAGGCACTCCAGATGGGGTGTGGCATCACAGAGTGGCTTACTAAATGCATACACCACTCAGACTAAACTCCTAGCACTTTCTCCTCATTCCCTCCCCTTCTTTCTTATACACACACACCACAGTGCACACACTCATGGATGACAGTGAGAGGGACAGCCTCTCTCACACTAGGCTAGTTTGGGTTTGTCTGCTTTGTATTGACCAGTTCAAGGATGCATTACATGTTGGTCAGGAGAGACTGCGTGTAATACTGTTTTAAAGCAAAGCTCACTGGGTACTTGGAAAGGGTAGCCTTGGAGCTGTGGTGCTTAAAGTCAGTTAGACAAAAAGCAACACCGGGTAAACAATTTTATCATTTTGACGAAGTTGAAATTAAAAATAAAAATGAATGACTTGTGTAGTTATATATCTTTACCAAGGTCTAAAGTGTCTTTTGAGGAATGCAGGACTGTTTTTTTTGTCAGGAAGTTCTTTGTATTTTATGTTTAACTCTACCAAGGCACAAGTGAGGATTGTATGTGTAGTGTTTCTAAAGATTTTGGCAGTTCTACTGTTATGGCATTATAGCAACGAGAGCATGCTCACTGAGAGCTTCTTTCTAATGCTGGCTGCATTTCCTTTTTAATAATGAAAATTATACATTATTAAATAGGAAACATTTAAGCACAATAAAAGCTGTACTTCAAACAGGGATTGTGGTTAAAGATGTGCATAAAAAGGGGTTCCTTGCATAAGATGACAATTTTTTTTATAATAATGTTTCCCCCTCTGTCTTTGATTCATTTTCAATAAACCTACTTCCTATCCTTCCCTCCCTACCTCCTTTGCTCCTCCATCCAGTGCTCCCTCCTGTCCTGGTACCACGGCACAGTGAGTTCAACCCACAGCACAGCTTGCTGGTACAGTTCCGTAACCTCACCCACAACGAGCCACACATGCCCCTGAACACCACTTTTCCAGAGTCCTTCCAGCAGCCACTCAGTGGGGGCAGCAGTGGTGGAGGAGGCGGAGGTGGCTCTTTTCCCATTTCTCCCAACTCTCCATACCCTCCTTCTCCAGCCAGCAGTGGTACTTATCCAAACTCTCCTGCCAGCTCGGGGCCCTCCAGTCCGTTTCAGCTCCCAGGTACGTCATTTACGCTTATGTACATGACCCTGGGAAAGATGCCAGACTATTGTTTTTCTGGATTATTGCCGTCATGTAGCCAGCAAGAGGCTAACTGTTGATAAACATTGGTCTCTTGTGATTTTCTGTTTTTAAAGTTGTGTAATATAAGGAAAAAGTATTGCTCACAATTAAATGACAAACACTCTTAACCAAAGTTCAGTTTAATCTAATTTTGTGTTTGTACCATTTACAGCACTCCCAGTGTAGAGATGTGTTGAGTGCATTGACTTAGTAGATTGTTTACTGAAATATAATACTGAATTAGATGCATTTCCATCAAGTGGTTGAAGTAGATAAACTATACTACTTTTGTGAGAAGATGGTGGTATAGGCAATATACCACAACATTGCTGTGATTTAAAAAACAAAAAACAAATGTTGTAGAAGTAGAGGCTACGAACTGGAAAAGAATCTGACAGAGAAAATGGAGAGGTCTGGCTGAATTATTTTCAACCGGACACCTCATACTTGTCCTCTCTGTTAAGCTAATATTTGCCATGTTCATAGCTATCTGGAGATGACAGAAATGCTGAGATCATGTCATGTGACTTCAGTGTTCATTGTCACAACTTACTCGAATGCGTTTCCATCTCCCACTTTATGCATTAACTCTTTTTTGCACAAGTCAAAAGCCACATCCAGTGAGCATAAACTTTTTTTGTGCATTAGAGGTTTTTTTTTTTTTTTTTCTTCGGGTTTTGGCATCTTCATCACCTTTTTCTGATGTACTACTTCGCATAAAAACGGTGATGAAAACACAGTTACTGTTACTGGCTGGAGACAGAACGCATGCATGAATACCACATACTGATCGCATTATACTTGCTTGTTGATGTGTTACTGCTGTGTGTACAGTATCTTGTGACCAGTGGTCAGTCCAGATCTGCTGACACATCTGGTGGCTGCAAGCAGAAAATGGTTTTTATTGAAAATTGCTGATTTGAGCTTATTTGTACTGAAAAAGCCCTGATCATCATTGTCTAAACTCACTAAATGGAAACTTGATTAATCCCCAAGGGGGAGATTTATTTGGTCACCATTTACACAACGGCAGTCTACAACACCAAACAAAAAAGGTATAGGTAACACAGTGGAGTTCACATGAGGGACTGATCTAGTTGCATACCATAACCATATAATTGCAATATAAATCAGCAATCATTAAGTAACAAAAAAAAAACATCGCCACTGACAGTTTTCCTCACTGCATTGTTTTTTCCTGTGTGCCTCGACATGGACTTGAGAAGCTCATATTGCCTCTCTGTTGGGAATGGTCTTAGCAAGTGAGGGATCTGTGTAATCTGACACCATTTCCGGGGTACAGATCCTGTGATGATTGTTGCAGTCTAGGGAGGTGTGTGTGTGTGTGTGTGTGTGTGTATATGTGTATGTGTGTGTCTGTAAGACCATTTGCCAGCAACAACAGCTGGTCTTATCCTCCCCACTACTCTTCTCTCTGTCTCAGCGGACACCCCACCCCCAGCCTACATGCCCCCTGATGAGCAGCTGGGCCAGGACAGCCAGTCTATGGAAACAAGCAGCAGCCTGGTGCCACAGAACATGGCTAGAGGAGGTGAGAGCTGCACATATACAGACAATAGCACTGTGCCAAAAACATATCCAAGAGTGAAATGCTTATCAGGAGGCCCAGTTTAAAGGCTTATCAAAAAGCCATGACACTGCAGAGCAGTTGATGTTCATTTGATGCACAGTTTGCCTATGAAAATTTTCAGCAATGAAGGTTTCCTCTGTCTTGACATATTTGTGCATATGCCAAACCAAGTGACCATGTACTGACCGTGTACTGCCACAAAAAGTAGAGCCAGGATCAGGTTTTTACACTGGACAGCCCTGTTTAGTTTTTTTTGGTGAGGCATTCATTGCAGAGGTCTCATTAAAATGCCACTTGTGTTCACACCATTTTCCCTTTTCTTTGATCTGAGGCCTGTAATGAGTATTTGTGCAGTCTGCTCTGATATTTCTTTGTAATTTCCCCCTTCCTCCTCAGGCACTGATTACAGTCCCAGTTAGCTGTCTCGTTGTTCCAATAATTGACCATTAAGTTCTATTTTGAACAGACATGAATGTTTATGTTGTTGAATATAAAGATTTTCTTATTGTGTTTTGTTTGATCTCAGGAATAGATACTAATATTATTAAGCACTGCATTATATTCTAGCAACCGGCACGCTTTCCTTCATTCATTCCAAAATTTTCATTGCTGTTTTTTCATAAGCCATATTTTGTGTTTGTGTTTCTGTGTGTTCTTCTGTAGTGATTGTGTTAGAAGTTTGATTAGGCTTAGTAAACCTGTACCTTAGCAGCCCTGACAAGGCAGTGAGCCAGTGACAAGTAACCTTACTGTTCACCGTTTTTGTTGAATGCTGCAGGGGGTGTGAGACATGTTCTCTTTCTCAGGAGAGATGTGATAAAGCTTAGTTGCCACAGCATGCCACCTGCTGGGGATTATATGTTGGCCACACTAACTTTTTGTGGCCTTGGGCCATGGTTAATGTTGAACCCTAGACTTGATCAGGTCTTTGTACATTCTTTTGAGAAATGCATGAAATAAAAGGTTGTTAGGAAAGTATGAAACAGAGAAAACTGTTGCTATCAACACCATCCTGATTTGGAAGCTTGTATTTATACAGAGAACTGAAAAACTAAGGCGATCCCACTGGCAAAATACATTTTATGAATCTAAAGTAGGGAGGTTTCTGTCCAAACTGTAGGGCATCCCAAAGGTTCACAAATATATTGTTAATGGAAGTACCTGCTGTAATGTTGCCCTGTATGAAATATTTCCCCAGGAATGGCTGATGTTAACAAGCAGCTTCGCTGTTGTAACTCTTATTAATGACATTTCATTCAGTTCAACTTTGTCAATTAACAGATCATATCCCAATGGTTTTGGCTTTAAGTTTTAATATACTGATATACTACATGGTTTTATGTTCCTTTTTTTTTATTTTTTTTTATTGATGTATAGTGATTTTGTATAGAGCAGTGGGAGGGCTCAAAGTCCCGCACTGTCTCTTGACATTGCACATCCTTCTCTGTAGCTAAAAACTTTGTAAGAAACCTTTTTAAGACACAAAAGCCCTCTAGAATATTTTTGTGTGGGTTTATGAATCACCTGTTTTCATCTGAGCTGTTGTGCACTTTCCCAGATGTGCAACCAGTGGAATATGAGGAGCCCAGCCACTGGTGCTCTATTGTTTACTATGAACTCAACAATCGTGTAGGTGAAGCTTACCATGCCTCATCAACCAGTGTGCTTGTGGATGGCTTCACTGACCCTTCAAACAACAAGAACCGCTTCTGCCTAGGACTGCTGTCCAATGTCAATCGCAACTCCACAATCGAGAACACCCGCCGACACATTGGCAAAGGTATGACTACTACAGCATGAAAAAGTGATTGATAAAACATTGTTGTGGTTTGAATGTTCTGATCGCTGCTTGTCTTTCTGTTGCCCAGGAGTGCACCTGTACTATGTGGGAGGGGAGGTGTATGCAGAATGCCTCAGTGACACCAGCATTTTTGTCCAGAGCCGTAACTGTAATTACCACCATGGCTTCCACCCCACCACTGTCTGCAAGATCCCCAGTGGATGTAGCCTCAAAATTTTCAACAACCAGGAGTTTGCTCAGCTTCTGGCCCAGTCAGTGAACCATGGCTTTGAGGCTGTCTATGAGCTTACCAAGATGTGTACTATTAGGATGAGCTTTGTAAAGGTAGGGCTCTACAAACTAAAGACAAGACAGAGAAGAACATAAAGCAAGAACCAACATGGTCATTAGGCAAACGTCATCATCATCTGTGTCACAGTTGTGTAATTTGTGCTGCCTGTTCACAGGGCTGGGGAGCAGAGTATCACCGACAGGATGTCACCAGCACCCCCTGCTGGATTGAGGTGCACCTGCATGGGCCCCTTCAGTGGCTGGACAAGGTGCTAACACAAATGGGTTCACCTCTCAACCCAATCTCTTCTGTGTCCTAATGATAAACTATTTTAATATTTCCCCTCAGTGATTTTATAATTTAAGGTGGTCTTAATGGCTGAACTGTTTACACTTAATTCAGTAAGGGATATTGAATGCTGGCTGGAAATTCAGCAGACACCAGTTGTTGAAACAGTAACGTTACAAGCTGGAGATGAGGAATAAGGAACATCCAAGGAGCAGTAATGACATGGACTCACTACTGCTTGACAATACTACAGCACCTGCAAGAATTGAGGTCTTTGTCAAGCTTGGATCTGTTAAATGGTTTTGTTTTGTTTTTGTTTTTTTTTCGCAAATGACTTTTATTTCTCTGTAGTTTTTAATGAAGCGGAGCTGTTTCACTACTCTGCCTTGTCCCACAGGCGATTTGGAATTTTACTTAACACTTTCCTTACATTGTTGTAATGTCAGATATGTACAGTTAAGGCACAAACACAGTTAGGTTTGCCATTAGGCTCAGATGTAACATACTTTCCTTTTCCTTCTAGTCTGTAATGCTAGAAATGAACACTGAGCTACTGCTTTTTAAGAAAGGTTATGTTGCCAACATGAGTTTTTGAATTGGGAGCTCAATCACTGAAAAAGTTTAACATGGCATAAGCTAACAACATTGTGAATGTTACATCTAATGCAATAGAAGTAGTCTTTTATGATATAATCAGACAGTGGACATCATCATTATTACTGATTCCTGTTTATACCTGCAAGGTTAAGTAAGAGTGACTGTATTTTCCATACTCACTATATTAACAATATTGTGCATTCATGGAAACTTTTTTTTTTTTTTTTTTTTGAGGCAATGTGTTGATAGGTAATTGACTTCAGTAGCTCATTAAAATAAACAGGTCATTTGGTTACAATGTTTTTGTGCTTCAGTCCTTTTTACACTTTGTCAGAGTTGGCAAAATACAAACTCCCCCCT